AGGACATAAAGGGTGTCCCGTAAAAAAGCATCCCTTTCTCATTTCACCATATTACATCCGATCGATTCCAAAATTGGACCAGAGGTTTATGGGACCCTATATAACCACAATCCAGAGTTATAGCTCGCTCGCTCTCTTTGGATCTGCCCCTCGATGCCTTTCCTTCCCCTGCCCCGGGCAATCCCCTATAGCCATAAAGGGGTGTTTGGTGCATGCTGCCAAGCATTGCATGGTGTAGTGGTTAGCGCTTCGCCGTGCTAATCTAACGATTGGCGGTTCGATCCTCGGATATTTTAGTTGTTTTGCTTTTTGCTCGGAAAGTGCGTTTCGGAGTAGATTTCCGTGTAAGGACGTTATTATGAAGTTAGGCACTCAAAGCTGCGCCGCAGCCTATAGAATGAAGCTACCCTCTCAAGCTAGCGCCGGAGACTTTGGAACGACGCTAGCCGGGCAATCTTGCGCCGCAGGCTTAAGTATGAAGCTAACCTCACAAGCTTGCGCCGCAGGCTTAAAGGGCTGCCGACGGCATCTGTCGATCCCCCCCATCAACAAATTGGCAAGTAGCCAACAGGGCAGAGAGCGCGCCCTGGGGAGAGGCGCAGAGACATTTTCTTTCCAGCGCGTAACCGATTGATTATGCCGTCGGCATTCCTTTAAGAATGAAGCTAGCCGCACAAGCTAGCGCCGCAGGCTTTATCTTGAAGCAAACCGCTCAAGCTGGCGCCGCAGGCCAAAAAAAGGGAAGCTAATCCCTCAAGCTTGGGCCGCAGGATGAGGCCAGCCGATGCTACATGCGCCGCAGGCCTAATGACGAGACTAGCAGTTCAAGCTTGCGCCGCATACCAATACAAAAAGAGGTTTGAAAGGGAGATGCGTCTTTCTTACTTCAGGGCAGGCCCGTACGAGGGGGGGGGGGGCACCGGGGGCACGGTGCCCCCTTCGAAATCGGCCGAGGTCCGAAAAGTTCTTAAAGGGATACCCAATGTTTTTGCGGCAAATATATAGTTATGTATTCCGGAGAGTACAAATGACGCGCGAATTTTGTGCGGGAATGGGTGCCCAGCGCCGCACAGAATTCGGACCCCTTTCCCTCTTGTGGCGTCCTGTAGAAAACGGTCTTTAGATATTCAGCGCGTGCGGAGAGGGCCAGAGGGGAGGCCATTACTGGCCGAGATGGAGGAAAATGTAGGGGAAATGGTGACTGTCCGGGGAGGGAAGGAGATGATGGGGCGAATCATCTCTACGAAAATATTAGTATAAAATTCTATTTTCGACACTCCACTAGGGAAAAAAGGGGATAGGGACGGCAAGACGTCGGTGGGTAGAACGCTCTTACTAGAGAATAGGGTGCCAAGCGGGACTTAGAAAGGAGGGGGAAAATGTGGACAATTTACAATGAAATTTACCCTAAAACGATATTTGTCGGTTTAGCTTTTTCCTGTTTGTCGTTGTTTACTGGCCGTTGAGGACCTGAGGAGAGGAGCCACATCAGGCGGCAGCGTTTCAGGCGAGCGGCAGGAGAAGAGGTTGGACGTCCAGGACGGCGGGTCCAGGACGACGAGTGAGTTAGATGGGCCATCAGTGGAGTCGGCAGCAGCAAAGCGAATCGATCGCCTACGTCCGTAGGCGAACCCTCCCGGCCGGAGAAATGAAGGCTGATATAGAGCGAGGGGAACAACGGGGTCGGGGGTGCTGGAGAACAGGCGTCTCGACAGCTCGACAGCGAAAGATACGCGACCATGACGGCGGGCGGGCCCAGGGGGACGAAGACTGCGTGGAGCACGACGTCACATCAGACGCTGAGAGGACCGTGGCCTCAACAGCGGAGGGTGGGCGTCCGTGACGGCAGGCCCAGGGGGACGAAGGCTGCGTGGAGCACGACGTCGCATCAGACGCTGAGAGGACCGTGGCCTCAACAGCGGAGGGTGGGCGTCCGTGACGGCAGGCACAGGGGGACGAAGGCTGCGTGGAGCACGACGTCGCTTCAGACGCTGAGAGGACCGTGGCTTCAACAGCGGAGGGTGGGCGTCCGTGACGGCAGGCCCAGGGGGACGAAGGCTGCGTGGAGCACGACGTCGCTTCAGACGCTGAGAGGACCGTGGCCTCAACAGCGGAGGGTGGGCGTCCGTGACGGCAGGCCCAGGGGGACGAAGGCTGCGTGGAGCACGATGGGTAATTAGTGTAGATTGATGTCCTGATAGCGGTTAAGCCACACGCCCTTTTGGGAATGCCGCCGAGCTGAAGCTGTGGTTTAAAGGGGTGGTGACACCCCTTTCGAGAACGCCGCCGAGGTGAAGCTGCGGTTTAAAGGGGTGGTGACACCCCTTTCGAGAACGCCGCCGAGGTGAAGCTGCGGTTTAAAGGGGTGGTGACACCCCTTTCAAAAACGCCGCCGAGGTGAAGCTGCGGTTTAAAGGGGTGGTGACACCCCTTTCGAAAACGCCGCCCAGGTGAAGCTGCGTTTTAAAGGGGTGGTGACACCCCTTTCGAAAACGCCGCCGAGGTGAAGCTGCGGTTTAAAGGTGCGGTGACACCTCAAACGCCGCCGAGGTCAAGCTGCGGTTTAAAGGGGTGGTGACACCCCTTTCAAAAACGCCGCCGAGGTCAAGCTGCGGGTTAAAGGTGCGGTGACACCTCAAACGCCGCCGAGGTAAAGATGCGGTTTACCCTTTGAAAACGCCGCGGTGAAGTTGCGGTTTACCCCTTTGTAAACGCCGCCGAGGTGAAACTGCGGTTTAAAGGGGTGGTGACACCCCAAACGCCGCCGAGGACACCCCCCTTTTGAAAATGCCGCCAAAGGAAAGTTGCGGTTTACTGATGTGAAAGCGTCACCGGGGTGTAACTGCGGTTTAAAGGGGTGGTGACACCCCTTTGAAAGAGTCACAGTAGTGAAGCATGGAGTTAAAGGGGCGGCGACACCCCTTTGAAAGCGCCACTGAGGTAAACCTGGGTTTTAAAGGGGGGTGGTGACACGTCGTTTTCAATACTGCCTATGTTTACACCAGACATGGCAATTTCGGTCGGCCGGCCGCGGCCGACCGGCCGACGGCCGCATTAGCATAAAAAATCGGCCGTTTCCGGGCCGCCGACTCTATGCAAATGACTTCCGGTCGGCCGATCGACCGGCCGACTTTTTTGGTCGGCTCGGCCGCGGCCGCGTCGGCCGGCCGACAATTCACACTTGAGAAAAAGTTTCACAGAAACGTGTCGCTGGCGCCTCTAAATTTTGAATAAATAAGGAATGGGTTTGGGCATTGGTTTTCACTATTCCCTAGGATGCCTGCCTACCAAATTTTATTTAAAAATCTTTATTTTATGTGGGGAAACGTGCCTTTTTTATGTCAACACTGAATTTTTTGGAAGGTTGCCAGCTTCAAATATAATATAAATATATTTGTAGTTTCAAGTAACGCAAAAATTTAGTCAGGATCTTTCTATGACGAGTGGGCCTTTAGTTTCCTGAATCTTTTTTGTATGAATCGTTTTGCGGCGATGAAGCAATTAGTGATGACCAGGGTTGAAAAACCGCTTCGCGGCTTTTCAACCCTGGCCCCGTCCCGATCCCCAAACGGTCTCCACTTTGGATAGTTCTGGCCAAACCCGCTTGGCAAAAAATGAAAACGATCTCCTTTGCTGGCTTATATAGGCGTCAACCGCTTCCGGCGAATGCAAATTCTTGTTTAACAAAGTTGTGTGACCGAATTTTAGCGAAAATCTACAATTTAATATCGAAAATAGCTTTTTTTGTAAAATCTGGTAGGTCGGCATTCATGCCAAGCCGATTTCACACCTAATGACATATCTCCCATACCTTAAAAACCTTCCCCTGACCCGATACGTGTGGAACAGCCGGACGGAAGTTGCATGCAAATGCACACACACAGACACTATTTTTTTATATATAGTAGGATAAAGCAAAGCAACAGCCACGTCAAATCCGTTGTAATCACCTCTAACCCTAGACCGTTACAACCCCATTTTAACTAATTTCCTCACAAGGAGTGTCCTTTTGGTGTCATCGGCAAAACGATTCGTGACCCCGCTCATTCGATAGAGAATTGAATTCTGAACAAGACTGTGTTGTTCATTTTTGCGGAATGGTTGTCCCTGATTTTATAGAATTAAAAAACCAAGCGCGAAGCCTTAACAACGCGCTCCCCAAGCACCAATGCATGGGCGTCGCCGGCAGTTTTTTAATTTTATAAAATTAGGGACAGCCATTCCGCAAAAATGAACAACACAGTCTTGTTCAGAATTCAATTCTCTATCGAATGAGCTGGGTCTCGAACCGTTTTGCCGATGACACCAAAAGGACACTCCTTGTCAGTCTAAACATTTTTGGCCAAGTAAATCCCTTCATTAGCATCCAAAATCTAATTTGGTTGCGGGTTTTCGGCCGTTTCCGGGCCGCGCGGCCGGCCGAAATTTCGGCCGGCCGATTTGGCCGCGGCCGCGGCCGACCGGAAATGGCGGCCGGCCGATTTCGGCCGGCCGCATTCTAATTTTTTCGGCCGAAAAAGCCGATCGGCCGGCCGATTTGCCATGTCTGGTTTACACCAAATGTTAGAGAGATGTTAACTTTGAATCATTTACTTGTTTGTGTTTTCTCTCACGCTCTCTCACTAGCACTGGTTCTGGTACTCGTTTCTTTTTCGTTGCTTTGGGGCTGTGTTGCCTGACCGAAGGCTCGCAACAAACGGGGCGCTTTGCGCGGTCATTTGTTATCTATCGGGACAAATCTCCGGTAAACGGCCGGGAGGGGAGCCAACGTTTGGGTAAGGGCAGGCGGCTAAGTTTGGGAACACGGATATCTAGCCGGGGGATCTCAGCCGTCTGAAAAACGGCAAAACCTCTTGATGTTGTGAACTTTTGGTTACGGTATTTTGTGAAACGGGTGAAAAAGTGAAAGTGAAAAAGGAGGGGTTGCTTAAAAAAAGATTTATTCTGAAAACGGTTAGCTTCAGTTACGTGTGTTCGCTGTTGGTTTTCGGCTTCGGTCATGGCGGGAAACGGGCTGCGACGTTGCGCTTCTGGCAGTCGGTGCAGACATAGGTCTAAATTTTAGGGCTCTCTAGAGTGCGTGTTCGATACCTTGAAGATGTTCTGCGCGGCTTTCGAGAGGTTTTTAGTCATTTCCGTGCAATTGGCGCAGATGTATATTTTCAGGTGGTCGGCGTTTTCGGGCTTGACGGCAAGTTGGCGCTGGGTCTGAGTTTTTGTTCAGTATGGCTGACAGGCAGGGGTTTCCTACCATGAAGCTGGAGTCGTAAGTCGAGATGGCGGGCATGTTCTTGTTTCAGGAGCTCTAGTTTACAGGGTCGAGGATTGAGTGGGGCAGTGCCTCACAACGTGTTTTATATTTTAGAAAAAGGGGTGTGGTCAGGTCTAGCCACGCCCAAAATTTTAATGTAATAACTTTCACTTTTTAAGAATTTGTACTTTGTGGTGGGGTGACGTCAGCGAGAGGTTACTTGACTTTCCTACTCAGGCTCTGAAGTTTCGACTTAGATTGTTGGATTACAGACAGTTTTGAGGGCGGGACAATTTCTAGATGGCGGGATTAGATTAGGCATGCTTAAATACACCCGTTCAAACCGTGGTGCTGTAGTTTTACACGTGTTTTTTCTTTTCAGCTTTTACGGGTTTCTTTTTCTCTTCTCTTTTGAGGGGTGAACCAGCGAGCAGCAGCTCTTTTTTAGAATGGCTGGTTGGACAGGCCCGCCCTCTCAGCGCCCCGCCCCTGTGTTCGAGCCCCAAATCCCCGCACGGTATTTTCCGCCGGGTTTTTTTTTTGTCAATTTTTTCGGTCTTAGCCCCCCAGAGCCACGACCGGTGCCGGTTTTTATTTTCCGACCAGCCCGTCGGCAAAATGGGCCAGTGGCACCCCATTGGGCCCCAGCGCCTCCTCGACTCCCCAGGTCCCTTCAGTTAGCCCGACGGCTCGGGGTCTGCGTTAGTGCCCTATTTTCAGTTGTGTCTTGTTTTTTTTGGTTTTCTCTGTTTTCTTTTCGTTTTCAAAGTTCTAAAATAATAAAAAATTTTAGCTTGAGGACCTCGAAATCTCGACCTCGAAGATGGACCTCGAAATGGTCTATCGCCTCAACCAAAGATTAAAAGCGATGAAAAAGGAGGTGGACAGCAACCACAGGCTTCTCTTGGCTTTTCTCGAGGTAATATTTCACATGTTTCAATTGAGTAGTTTTTGTTTAGGAGAATATCCGCCTGCTCAACAGAACACCACCGGCGAGCGACCAACACCACCAAAAACCCCCAAAAACCCCGCCAAAATGCGTCTGGTCTTCTCCGGAGTCGGTCACGGTAGTTTCCGTAGTTTTTCAAAACCTTGGTTTAGACCCCGTTTACCTCGTGATGTGCCAATCTCCCGCAACACCACCGAGGCCGGGACCAAGCAGCACCCCGACAGCTCCAAGACGCCCGTCGGGGCGAAGGGTGAGTTTTGTTTTTCGATTGTTTGTAAAAAAAATGTTCTCACACCGCTTGTTTTTTTAGGGGACCCCTAAAAGACTGGCTGACAAGAGGGACCAGAACCTTCAGGATTCGGATGAGGTTTGTTTTCTGCTGGTCTTTCTAAAGATGTTTACGTATCAAGTTACTAGTTTTTTAATTTTCAGGAGCAGCGGAAGAAGGAACGGAAGGAGGGGGACACGGACGTGGAAGTGGTTACCCTTGATTGAAGATGATCACCCTCCGCCAGTTGTTGTCGATGAATAAATAGTTAGAAGAAAGAGGCGTTTTTAAGTTTAATAGGTCTGCAACCTTAATTCTGTCTGTTTGGGGATGGAGAGGTGGGGGGCAGAGAGAGAGAGAGCGAGAGAGTGAGAGTGAGAGAGGAGAGAGCAGAGAGCAGAGAGAGAGAGAGGGGGAGAGAGGGAGAGAGGGGGGAAAGGGAGGGGCGGAGGAGAGAGGTGGGGCTGAGGAGAGAGGAGAAAGAGAGAGAGAGAGAAGAGAGAGAGGGAGAGAGAGAGAGAGGAGAGAGAAAAACACAGAATTCCAGAAGTGGCCGCAGTGGCACTGGAGCTGGTGGGGATGGTGGTGGTCGTGGTGGTGGTGGTGCCACACCCGTAACTGGACCGATGCACAAAACGGTAAAGAGGAGTGCAAAAACCAGCAGGGACGGGGTGAGGGGGGGGCAACAAACGGAAAGGTGAAGGTAAAGGAAACAGTGAAAAGAGAGAGAGAGAGAGAGAGAGAGAGAGAGAGAGAGAGAGAGAGAGAGAGAGAGAGAGAGAGAGAGAGAGAGAGAGAGAGAGAGAATTTCTAGGTGGACGGGGTGCGCCGAGTGAGACCTTGACGGAGACGCCTGCGGAGGGCTCTGAGAGAGCCGGGGTGACAGAAAGCAGACCGCGCTCTGTCAGCCCGAGAGCCGAGACCCCGATCGGTGGGTCTTATCGCCGGGCAAGGATCGTCTTATAGATGTGGAGACGGTCGACGAGACACCGGAAGAAAGAAGGGGTGGAACGGGCCTCGTCACCGGTTTGTTCGGTGCGGATTCGCCCGAAAAAAGTTTTTTATAGCTGAAGGGGCTTGGAGAGAGAGTGAGACTGGCCCGTCTTCAGCACTCGGGGACAAGGGTGAGCAGTTTTTGAAGAAAAATCTGACTGGCCAAGTCCTAGGTTTTGAGATTGAGCTAACTCGGCGTGAGTTAGGTTTTTTCAAAACTCTGCAATGGGTTGCCGATGTTGTCATCGACCCCGTCAGGGCGCCACTGATCTTTGCGCAGGCCTTGCAAGAAGCGATACGCCGAATCCACGAAGCCTTTGGGGTGCTGCCGGTGAGCTTTTTTCTAGCGGTTTCGAAGCGGAGCGAGGTTTTATTGCCTGTCTTTTCAGTCTGACGAAAGACTGAGCGCGTCGGTGTCCAGCTCCTGCATGGCCTCAATGTCGTCGGGGCGAGACATTTTCCTGTGCTCCCGACCCCAGAGGCAAGTCACAGCCCGTGAACTGCTCGATGTTATCGAGCGGCGGGTGCAGAGCGGCGACAAATTGCCCAACATGCGCCACTTTCAAGTCAAGGTTCGTAGAAAAATAGCCTACTCATCTAAAAGTTTTGAGATGACACTGGTCCATAAACCGGTAGCTGGTTCTTTTCGCGCGTCGTTTCCACATGCGGACCCGTCGGACGTGAACACCTGCTTTCCGGTGGCGCTGAAACTGCTCAGCCATTTCGGCGAGTTGGTTGAGATGTGGGATCGTTTCGAGCGCGACAACAGTCATCGCTTTAAACACGCGTATGCTTTTTCAGACAGCCATAACGTTTTAATAGATGGGCTCGAAAGGAATGGGACCGTAAGCTGGCTGCTGCTAAGGAGATTTTCCTCAACTGCAATACGCCACACGTCGTTGACTCGGCGGTCCGGTTTTACCGCACACACATTGACGCCGCGTATGATCGAAACCTGCCTGTAGGACTGGCATGTTTTGAAAAGCTTTTTTAAAGGTGCCACTTTCTGAGGTTCGCGGAGCTCTAGAGCGGTTCAAAACCGTCCGTGGTCTACGTGTTTTCCTCATGGATCGGAGGTGTGCGTGTTTTTCCTGTGCAACTCGTGCTTTTCAGCGGTAACTTGCTTCCGGAAAGCCCGTTATATACCGATGCTACGGGGCCTGTCTTGAACATGTTGTTTGACGAGCGAGACGGGCATGTGATTCCAATTGTTGGCTCCCTGAACAGCCAGCCATGGGTGAGGGTGCTGCCGGACGGCAGTGAAGAGCGCTTCTTTCACGAATTCCAGTGCCGCCAGTGTGGATGGATGGTGAGCAGTTTTTGTGCTTCCTCACGCTGAACGGCTCCAGGGGGTGAAAAAACGTCATCTACGCTGCCGGCTACGCTGTCGATTTTGCTGGGGTGGAGTTGAAGACTGCCAGTCGGTGGCTGGGCATCAGGGTACACGATGCCACAGCTGTTCGGTGGTGTTTAACAACTTGAACTGCTACCATCACCATAAAACGTCCGGTGCTTGCTACCATAGGTGTGCAGGTTTTTTTGCAGTAGTTTAGCCTGAAGCGTAGGTTTCACTGTGCAAGGTGTGGACTGACTCCAACGACGGTTCGAGGAAAGGCGGCGCATGTGTAAGCTTTTCTTTTTAAAGCGGTGACTTGGTTCAAGGTGTGGACACTTTTGGTGTCTGACATGCCGAGAAACGGTCGAGACAGCGGGACATAACTGTATGTTTAATCCCTATCTGGACAAGGACGCCGCTAACGCTAGAAGTCAAGTTTACAAGTCGGCTAAAGGTTTTTTTTGACTTTGAACTGGTTATTTTCGATTTATTTTTTTCGACACCGAGACACAAACAACTGCGTATGACGCGCAAGGACGACTGCAGGCTACCGAAAGGCACATTGTCACAAATGCAAGTTTTCAGAGCCCGTAAGAGCAAAGTTTCAGGTGGTTGTGTATACACGTTGTGAAGAGTGCACGGATGACCGGTTTGACTTTAGTTAAAAGTGCAGGTTCATGTTTAGTTTTTGGGCGGCCGCTAAGCGCGGGGGTGGAAGCTATGGGCCCCGGGGTCAACAGCTGCCAGCCGACTCGCGCGTAGGGTTGTTTCTCGGAACAGACCGAGATTCGGAACTTTCGGAACAAAGACTGGCCGGAACGTTCCGAGATTCGCGTGTTCCGGCTGTTCCGAGATTCGGAACATTCCGAGATTCAAATGTTGCGGTTGTTCCGAGATTCATAGTGTTCCGGCTGTTCCGAGATTCGGAACGTTCCGAGATTTGGCTGTTCCGACTGTTCCGAGATTCGGAACAGTCCGAGATTGAGCTGTTCCGAGATTCAAATTTTTTCGCATGTAAATTTCGATTTCGTGTAAATTGTGTAGATTGCAGGTAACTGTTTCGATTTTGCCGTGACACGGCAGTGTGGGCGCAACTGAACACTTAATTCCGTCGATGGTTAGATATCGAATCCGGAAATTAGGGAAATGAGAACGAATTGGGGATCGAATCGAATCGAAATTCAGTCGTGTTTGGAAATTTACATGCGAAAAAATTTGAATCTCGGAACAGCTCAATCTCGGACTGTTCCGAATCTCGGAACAGTCGGAACAGCCAAATCTCGGAACGTTCCGAATCTCGGAACAGCCGGAACAATATGAATCTCGGAACAACCGCAACATTTGAATCTCGGAATGTTCCGAATCTCGGAACAGCCGGAACACGCGAATCTCGGAACGTTCCGACATTCGGAACAGTCGGAACGGTTGCTGTTCCGAATGTTCCGAATCTCGGCCTGTTCCGAGAAACAACCCTACTCGCGCGACCGTGAAATCAACGTGAAGCGCAGGGGTGAATGCCGTGGAAACTGCGTCGACTCGCTACGGTAAACAGCGTTGGTTTTGGGGTTACCGTTTTTACAGTTTCTCTTCGTTGCAGCCGGACGGCAGCTTTTTGCTTTCTCCCACTCACTCTCTCGCTCCCTCTCTCTAATGATTCATGTATTTAAGCATGAAAATAATACCCTCCCGCGAATAAAAAGGATAATGATGATGATTCCACAATGGCAAATCAATATATGCCCCCACACAACATCGCGCGGCGGCTCCTTGCCACGGTTTTTCCGAGAAATGCCATCTAACCCCCATTCCGCAAAGCGATTCCGACAGCTCTAGATTCTCTCTCTCTCTCTCTCTCTCTCTCTCTCTCATTTCCTTTCACACTCACTTTCTCTCTCTTGCCTATCTTTTTCGCCGTCAAACGAATTCCAGTTTCGGGCAATATTACTATTATTGACGGAGTCATTTTATTTCCTTCATGGTTCTTTCGATTCCAGGCTCCGGCCCCTATTTGGGTGATTATTCCGAGACCATTAGCGCCTTCTTCAACGAGGCGCCATATCGGTGTTGAAATGTTCAGCATCGATCAAATTGTTTAAAAATTCTTCATATAGAGGCAAAAAACGAGAGGAAAGTTGAAAGGTCGAGTTGATTTAGGACAGTAAATTATCGGAGCGCCAAGAAGCTGTGTTTAGCCGTCATTTCCTTAAGCTTAGGTGCGCCGCACCTGGGGTAGTCAATGTTTAGACGAGAAAATTTTCTGGGTTAAGGTGTCTGAAAACTCTGAAAAACCGCGACCACTTTTCGCCCCGGGTCTGAAGAATACCAGGTAGCTAAAAATTACTACAAAAAGGCTTATCCCCGAAAGTTATATGGCTGAAGGGGAATTAGCCTCTCCGACAGGTTTTCATCGATCAAAACGCTAAAATCAAGGTGAACCTCTATCAAAACGCTATTCTGGAGCCAGATGTGATGCTTTGTAATCAAAATAATCCGTGTATTGCCCTTCAACAGTATCGGGCTCGGGGCTAGGGCCCAAAAACCACAATTCGTCATTTTCACCCGAAAATCGACGCTTTTATGACGAAGGTTATATGACCTGCCAAAAACCCAGATCGTAATCCATTCGATTTTTCTCTGCGGGAATGCATGAAACACGAGCCAAGGAACCAGAACGTCAAGAATATGGTTAATCTGCACCAAGAATTTAACAAGATTTTGAGCAAAATAGACTCACATGCCCGCGGCGCACAGCCATTTTAGGATAGCCACAATTTGAAGCATAAATCGAAGCAGATAGATGTCAAGTTAAAAGTTTGTTACAACGACGAATATTTAGCTTTTACTTGTTATAAAATAATTGGTTTTGATTACCTTCGTGCTTTCCTTTTTACACCCAGACCTTATACTTTTTCCGGATACTTATCAGCCACCCTGTAGACGACCCCCACTTCCGGTCGATGCTCATTCTTTGCTAGCAAAAAGTATTTTACAAAAACTTAAATTTAATATCGAAAAGGGATAATTTTTAAAAATCGATATATGTGCAGTCATCGCAAGGGGATTATGCCCCTATTGACATATGACATACGGAAGTGGATCCAAAGTGGCACAGAGACACAGACACTACTTTTTATATATAGTAGGATATTTTCAGCTTAAAAAAAGACTCTTAGTGTATTTTTTGATGCTCTATCGAATGGCGCTGAAAAATTGCCAGAAAATAACAAAAAATATCGAAATTCTGCTCGATCAAATCCCCCCCTCCCTGCACAGTTTTCCCCCCGCGCGAAATAGACCAGAACCCCCAATCCTGGCCTAAAAGCGATCACCAAAAAATGAAAGTCAAGCCCTCCTTTCGTTCTCACCTCCACCTCCACATCGGGCATGTTATAATTGCTCCCTAACGAAGAGAGCGGCGATTATTTATGCAAAAAGGTCATTTTATTAGCAAAAATAGCAAGTTTTCAAAAAAAAAATAAGGTGGGAGGCTTTTCAGAGCGATGTTCAAGATCCTCTCGTTCATCCAGAAGCTGCTCAACGACCCACAGCGACGGCCGTTTCTCAACACGGTTGACCGGCTGTTCGCGTACTGGATGCCCTGCTTGATTCCCAGCGCCGTCACCGTTTTGGGCTTGCTGTAAGTGGCTGTACCGGCATCAATCGTGACTACAGCTTCTAGTTTTCCTTCGGCTTACAAGGGAAGTTGGAATTGGTAATGAATGACAGTTCATCCAGCCCAGTTCTTGCGCTGATTCCGAATCTCTAGTCAGTTTCTGCCCTCGCCAGATTTCTAGCGGAATATTCGGTATTTTATGCCCGAAAATCCCAATTTTGGTCCAAATAGCGGCCGGGATTCGCGATTTTTTCTGCCTTTTGCGAAAACCCTATTGAACGTGACTGCAGCTAAGGCGACCACTAAAAACATTGTTAGTTTTCAATAGTATTTTTAGGTTTCTGCCGAAAACTCTCGAAAATGCATCAAAATGCGCTTTCGGTGTGTATTAATTGTGGATTTTCTGGTCGGCAGGCCTGAATAGGAGGATTTCTACCCGCTTGTTAATTGACCATTTCACGCGTAAGTAAGGAGCTTTTTGCCAAGCACGGAAACATAAAGCTCAAAAAGCTAAGGCTAAGCGAACCATCTCAATCCAAATTTTCTCCGGACCACTAGAAGTGGCTTGTTCTTGAAGCCACCCAGTACACGTAATTTTCAGCTTCTTCGCGAAGCGGATCAGCTGCTGGACGTCTGCGCATTATGTCAGCGGCTGGCTACAATACGTCGAGGTCAGCTGCTACATGGAAAACAGCTACCACTCTCCCGCCAAGTTCGGAGGTTGGTGCCAGGTTTCCTGAAAAGCCGCACTTCCCCATCGAAGCGCCTTGGCCTCTACGGACCTTTATGCCCGTAAAAAATAAAGCCCAGGAGGTTTTGTCTGCCCCGGTAACTTCTAACGTAGATTATGAGGCAAATTTCGAAAGCTAGATTATGAGAAGATGCAAACCGGGGGCGGGCAGAAGGAACGGTTCTGTTCGATTTCGAGCAGCGGAAAAACTGTGTGGTGGGAATTTTCTTGGGCAAAACTTCAACATTTTCGCTATTTACGACGGGTTTTTCAATGCCACTACAAGTTCACTTTTGTGACTGGGGAAAGCATGCTGGTTTTTCGATATTTTCGCTATTTTTGTATTTTTGAAAACCATCGTTCGATAGAGCTAATAGAAAAACAAAAACTATACTAATAGTTTTAATTTGATTTTAAAACAGCGTAAAATAAAATATTGATACCAAGCATAAAATTTAAAAGCGTTTTCCACATGGGAACATCAAGTGAAAAGCCAGTTTTTGACGTTTTCGATATTTTTAGAAAATTTCTTGTACGTCATTCGAACATCGAAAAATCTACGAACAGTTTTAATCACAACTCAAAATCACGAATTATAAAATATCTATAGAAAAAGAAGTAGTTCACCGCAACCCCCCGGGCAGAGTTTCCCCCTGCCCGAACTAATAGAACAGTACCGAAGCGACAGCTGTGTCGCAGGATTGTTGACCAAACAATAATCTCCGGAGATTTAGGCCGATTGAGTGAGCAGTAAGGAGGCAGTCTCCACCAAGGCGATCTACCGACGGTGCATCATGGTATCCCCTCCCGACACGGTAACCGCAGACATCCTATTCTACCTACCCTCTCAAATCATATCATTGGAAAATCAAGAAGGCAGGTAGGTGACGCAAAGTTGTTTGTATAAGTCCAGAAAAACCTAGTAACTTAATATAAAGTGTTTTAAGTACTACTGGAGCTAGGGGCCATAAGTCAGGATTGTTGTTATAGCGAAAATTTAAACGAGCGTAGGAATCAACGAAAAAATACGACGCTAGGTTAGACTTGATCCCAACCAAAAACTCCGATATCACTCAACATAATTTCCTTGTTAGATTAGGCAGCACATCCCCTAGATCCAACGAAGATGAAAGAACAGCTTCAGACTACTTGATGGTCTTGCGACAGTTCGAAGAGATCTTCAATACGCCGGTGGCAGCGGATCTGAATTTATTTTGTACAAATCGCGCGATGAAAAGAAGCCCAGTTAAAGTATAGTCGTTTTCACTTTTTCCGCTTATGCAGATGTATACTCAATGAATATATTTTTGCTACAACTTTTCCATTGTTTGAAAGAATTGATGACGCTGTTCCCCAGCTATTCGTGATGATAAAGACATGTATAAACATCGTGTAAATGCATGCATACGATGAAAGAAAGAAACAGTACAGTAACAGTTTGCTCATATACATTGCAAAAGCCGAGTTGCACCGAAAGATCGCATGGAGGCAAAAATGAAATGGAGACGGAAATCTGACCCGGCCCAATAAATTCTTCAAATCCGTTGAAAAAGAACACTGGCGCTTCCAGGCCCTGTTTCCAACGTTATTTTTCGTTTTGCTCCAACTTTTTATTTTACAAGCTTTCCCAACTTTTTTGCACAAGTTTATAAATTCTTAGTGAGTTAATAGGCAGTGTTTTAATAGTTTTTTAGTTATATAACTGTATTTAACCTGGAAAAACTGTCAAATCGTTGAAAAAGTCGAAATTTGATCAAAAATCTGGAGAACCGGTATTTTTTCAGTGCAAATTAGCAAAACGAGCGGCTTCATGCACATGTGGAGTTTTTTTAGGCATAACCATGCCTTTCAGGGCAAACCTCCGTCCACCGTCTTTCTGATGGCGATCCCCGCTTCATCCAACGGCGATTTCTTCTTTCACGTCCATGCACTGGCTGCATCTCTTTTCGATGTCCCGGCCATCATCCGCGACAAGGTCGACAGGCCATTGACCATCGGTCGGTATCATTATTTGGTCTCGATACGACTGACCAATTTCGACCCTTGGCAATTTCTATGTGACCTGCTTTAGCTATTTGTTCATTCAAATACGTTCGTACTGATATTTCATGGAAATATCCGTGAAATATTATTTTTTTCCAGCCAATTCGGCCTCACAGTCGTCTATTTCGAGCGCGTCTACCTGCTCCACGGCCACGGCTTGCTCCGAGAAAGGTATTTCTTGTTGAACTCTTGGCCTCGGTTGGAGGTGTCGTTTTTGGGACCTATCATAGTTCGTTTTACCCCTCGTAGGGATTTGCGGTTATTTTGCATTATCGGGAGGCCGGGGGCCGAATTTTTGGTTCTGGACTGCTAGCGGGAGGGCGGGATTTTTGGCAAGGGGGAAACGGGTTTCGGTACTGTTCTATGGGCCGGGTACATTTACATTATTAAAATTAAAAGTCGTTGTATATTTTTTGAAGATTTATCGAATGGCGTTTTCAAAAAATCTTATTTCTGCATAGATCAATTTGCATGCGATGCCATTCACGCCAAACGATACCTTTCGAGGAGTAGATATCGATAGATCTTGAGATCATCAAAATTGGACACTGAATGGCCGAGATATGAGCCCTTGAAAAGGGCCCATTTCTTAGAACTTTTCTCGAAATTTTCTTTTATTTTTTTTGTTTTTGTTATCTGGCAAAATTTTCCAAGTTTCGAAAAGTTTTGGCGCTGCCCCTCCGCAAATTCCGTTTTGCGAGCACAAGCCGGGAGGTTGTCCCGTGTGCCTTCTGCGAGTGACATGTGCTGCAAAAGTCATTCCACCGAAAAGTCACTATCCCGAAACATTTCGCATAATTTTGATAGGATAGAAAAATGATGGAAAATGGCATTTGGCAGGGAAAACAATGCAGTCATTTTTCGGGCTGGAGTCACTTTTCTGGGTAATGACTGTTCGGGGCCACATGCTCCTCTCTGCCATCCCCTCTCAGTATTTTTTCGTAGATATCATGATGAGGCCTGAAGCTGTGTGCGGGAGTATTGCCCTGTTCAAAAAACTTCAACATCCCGGAATCAGCTTTATTCGTAGAACACATTAAGGAATGCAAAGCAACACAATGATATGCAGGGATCATAAGCTCCTGGGCCGCCGTCGACCTGCTGAAGCTCACCTCTAAACAAAAAATGAAATCGTTGCATCTTTGATTTATCGGGAGTAGAATTTTCCGATGTGTCTCTACGGGCTCACTCTAGGAGGCTCTTCTTTTGAAAAGACATCGCAATGCCTTTCAAGGTGGTGGAAAGAGCCGTTTTCAAAGTGCTACCACCGGACCGCCAGAGTACGGCACATGACGCTCGAAAAATCCCCCAAGTCTTTTTCTAAAGGCACGCCCCAACAAGCGGAGTGTTTTTGACCGAGGTGCGGAATAGCGATGTAACATGTATGAACGCATTGTTTTCCCCGTTGAATGCGCCATTTTTCGAAGGAATTCCGATGAAAATTGTGCGCTTTGAACTCAACTCAATAGAAGTACGGGGAGTCCCCCAACACCCAAATAGCGATCCACAGGCGTACTCGATTTTGACGATTTAGGTATCTAACGAAAGCACTCGACAAGCTGATGAGACCGGTTTTTTCCGATTTTCGAAATTCGGGAATTTTTTGCTCGTTTTCCGGCATTTTTCATGCTTACGTCAGCTTTTTCGAAATATTGAGTTTAACCGCCTTAAGGGCCATCCCAGCTACGTGGCAAAAACTGACGTTGGCCTGTCGCGAAAGACGTGCAAATTTTGATATTGTAAAAAAAATTGTTTCATCGGAGAAACATCTGACATTCGGTCCATTGGCAGGCATATCAGTAATTCCAACAAAAATTCCGGAATTTCGAAAATTAGAAAGCGCATATCTTTTCAGCTCGTGGAAAGTCAGTGCGAAAAACTGGAGGGCGTCTTTCTACACCACCTTTCAAAGCGATTGCGATGGGGTCTGCTTTTTTATGTCGATAGATTCTACTCAACGGTTACCCCGTTCGCGGGCTGGCGGGTGACGGAGCAGGCTCTGCCCTAGAAAATGTCGTTACTACAAGGTTCATTACTGTGGAATCCTCGCTAAATCTGGGGTTTAAGTGCCTATGGTTGACATTAAGAACGCCTCTTTCCCGCCATGTTTTCTTTCTCTATTCCGGATAAACTGGCAGCGCCTCGATGTGCGCAGAAAATTCTCTTTGAGTTGGATTGGGATTTAGCCGGCGAGAAACCACAGACCGACGGACCTACACCAGAACAGGAAATTCATTAACCTAACTAGGCAACTGCCGACCACCCGTCAAGGGTCGTTTCAAAGTACAGCCCATGTCATGTTATGCGGAATTTTTGCTGATTTCGCATAGCAATACTTTTATACTTTTAGCTTTCAAATGTGACCTCACTAAGTAAACAGGGTTTGCCAAAAAAAGTACCTCCCTCTAGCGGCGCGGAGGAAGCTCGGATCGGGCTGATTTTTACAGCATTCGAAAGCTCTCGAAAAGGCGAGAAAACAAGCCTACTTACTTTTTTAATATTTAACCTCATTCCATCGACATTTAACGTTTTTCAAAAAAGCGGTTAATTTTTCAAGACGATTTCGCAATTAGCATGCAAATCTCCCATAAAGCAGTGATTTTTATGGGTTTTGGACTTAAAATGCGGAAAAAATACATAATAAATTAATTGAACCCTCCTTGTTTTCTCGCCTTATCGAGAGCTTTCGATAGATACCTAAATCGTGAAAATCGGGCCGACTGCCCGCCGCTAGAGGGGGTGTTTTTTATTGGGACACCCTGTACAACTCGCTAGAAGATTCGCTACCTCAAGGAATTTGCAACATAGAAACAAAAAGGACTGCATCCATGGTAGATCACTTTGAGGCGGGGCGGGGAAACGAAAGGGTAGCGAAAGGTGAGGTTGTGAGCGTTTTTTGTCTTTTGTCATCGGAGTTTGCAAGAATTATGTAAGGTGAACAATAGCATGGACTCGGACGGGGCCAGGGTTGAAAAGACGCGAAGCCTCTTTTCAACCCTTGATTTCAAGCCAGTTGATAATTGTCGTCTCCGAAAATTGTGCGCCATAATTTGTTCGAAATGTTGTGCCTTTGAGCTAACATCAACGAAGAGTATCTTACCCCTTGGCGACGAGCAGCAGGAACAACGGCAGCAGCCGGAGCGGCCGGAGCAGCGGGAGCGCCTCGTGCGTTGCGGACGCGCCGCCCCGGTTGCACATCATTGTCGAATCCCTGGAATAAGAAAGATTCTGAAGGCCCAGGCCCTTTCCGGAAATTTTGTAGACGGCGGATACAAAAATCGACCCATGCAGCATTTAGCGGCTTGTTATCCGAGGTTAAAGTAGGCCTATCCGAAACTATCAGGTTGAAAGGCAAGTCGTGTCGCCGATATTTTGAAAGGCTCCATTCCGAACAGGCGATATGTCATTTTGTAGCTCTCAGACTGAACCGTCTCGAAGAGGACGATCTTGGCCGATTCTCACACACGATTTCGAAATCAATATTTCGAAAACCCATGCTTGACCAATGGTATGGGATTTTGAGCAAAGTTCCGGGAAAGAGCTAAATTGCAAGGATCCATATCAAGGCAAACTGGTATCCAATTTTGATGATCTCAAACAAAATCTATTGATATCTACACCTCGAGGGCTATCGATTGGCATTGAAGGTACCGCTTGCAGATTATGTAATCAGAGACGTAGCGTAATACAGGCCCCGCCGCCCCCCCCCCCTCCCAGCCCTGAAATCGGCCGGGGCCCGAAAAGCTTATAAGGCTCACCCTTATGATTTTTTTCTCAAAAATCTTTCTGGCGATGGCGCTATTTATTTGGGGTTTAAGACCATTTTTAGTGCGATGCAATCTATCTTTTCAAAATTTTCCACCCGCGGCGTTGTTTTTTGGTTTTTTGTTCCAAAAAAATTTTTCGCGCCCCACCTCCGAAATTTTTTCTGGCTACGCCCCTGTATGTAATGCAGAGATTACTCGCTAAGACATTCATGCGTAACTTTGTTAAAACTTCTTGGGCCTGTATCTCGGTATTCCTTGATTCTGGGAGGTCCAGAACCTTTCCCGGAAACGATTAAGCCAGAGAGCTGCAAAATAACATGTGTCGAAACGTTGAGAATGGGGCTCTCCGCGATTTTAGCCAGCCTTTCAAAAGACCGGCGGCAGGGCTTCCCTTCCAACCTGATAACAAACAACAATCCTGTCTTCCCGCTTAGAACCCTGGTAGTTTTGATTTACAACTATGTTAATTCGATAAATTTGAGTATTTACCAGCGTCGTCATCAAAATTTGGTTCCCCCACTAAAAAACTCCTCCTCCTCCCCCCCCCGCTAACGGTCCAGGGCCTCTGCCATCTCTTATAATGCCCGATAAAGCACTCTTTTTGCAGTAACCAGAAGACCGCGGTAAAATATGAACGGCAAGTGGATTGTTGTGATTCAGGATACGATGCAACCAGGCCCGTAGGAGGGGGGGGGGCCCAGGGGGCCCTAGCCCCCCCCCCGAAATCGGTCGAGGTGCGAAAAATTCATAAGGGGGACCCTTATGATTTTTAGTTACAAAATTTTTTCTGCCTGCGGCGCTGTTTATTACTGTTTTTCAAACAGTTCTTACTTATATGAAGTCTATTTTTTCACAATTTTTTGCCTGCGGCGCTGATTTTTCATAGGTGAATCAATTGTTCATAAAAAATTTTTGCCTGCGGCGCGTTTTCTGTCGTGTTTTCGCACGAATTTGAGTGTAGCGAACGCTCTTTTTGCGATTTTTTTGCCTGCGGCGATATTATTGTCGCGATTTTCGGATGTTTTAAAAGTGCCGACCGGGGGGAGGGCCCCCCGAAATTTCGGCTCCGCTACGGGCCTGGATGCAACCCTGATATAATTTTGTGACAGATCGTAGTCAAGGCGGCTATATGCTGAAGGGGTCGTTTTTCGGTAGGCCCGCTCCTTTTTCATAGGAAAACCGTAGTAAAAAAAGATCTTACATCAAGATCGGGAGAAGCGAAGATTGTAAAGTTTTTTAATCGTTATAAATAGTTAGAAAGCTTAAGACCCTTGTTATCCTACTCAATAGATAAAAAAAGTCTTTGTGTGACCCTAATGACCCTAACATGACTAACAGATAGCAGTTTTTACAAAATCAACTATTTTCAACGTTAACTTTGAGTTTTTGTAGAATTTTCAAGTGCCCTATTTGTTAAGAATCAGTGAATCATACGCCGGAAGCTGCGGTGGCCTATATAAAGGGCGCAAAGCGTGTTCATTTGTTGTTATCGGAAATCAAGCGAATTATGGAAAGTGAAAAATATTGTTGGATCAGACGGGGACAGGGTTGAAAAGTCGCGAAGCGGCTTAACAACTCTGGGTTATATTAGAAATGTCTTTGGATCAATAAAAAATTTGCCTTGCCGGTGGCAGTGGGAGAGGAGCCGGAGCGGGGCGCGGGTGCCGGGCGGCACGGTCGGGCTAAAGGAATATACAGTAGCGGTCAAAAAGATGTCCCGTCGGGAAATTGTTTGCTGTTCGAAAACCACAGGCCCAAATTTTATGAAACTCTGCCCCTAGGTCAACTTCTGTACGGAGAATCAGATGATGACCACGAAATCGGCCCAAAATTTGTTTTAGTGGTCAAACTTGCATTTTTCAAAAACCTTGAAACCTAGGCGGGGCATTTACAGGTTGACGCGCAAGTCCATTAGGTCGAAAACTGCGAAAAACACCTCCATACAAATGTTTGCTAGCCTCGATGTCTATTGTCCTGCTAGTGAGAGCTTTTGAGAGGTTGAGAGTGAGACTCACCTGTTGCCTGAGGGGCGGCTGTTGCTCTCGCTGTGGCTGTCGCTGTCGCTGCTGCGCTGGCGGGTTGGGTTGCGGGTTGGGCTGCGGAACCTATAATCCCAAATGTTTTGAAAGGGGGTGACGGCCAGTTCGCCTCATCAGGAAGGTCTTTCCACTCGCCATCGTGTCTCATAACGTTAGATCTGTCTCCCGAGGGGACATCTTTTTGACCGCTACTGTACCATAAAAAACTTCAGGGTTTGAAACTTTGCTAAAATCCTTTCCTCGACAATTAGTAGAAAAATAAAAGCGTGCAGGCGATCTTTCTTACAAGGAGACTTCTAGGCGCCTACGAGGTTTGGTCATGTGGTATAGGTCATTCGTTTGAGCTTGAAATCATGAGCAAACCCGATTCTTGAGAAAGTTGAGTTACTTACAAAGCAAGGTAACTATGACTTCTACGCACTGCCATATACCTAGAAGAAGGGCCCGGGTTCAATACCAATTCATTTTAGAAAACGTATGGTTTTTCTTTCTTTTGTTTTGCAATCGTCCAAGTGCGGTCTAAAGATACGAATCCCTACTGTCTTTCCTTTCCAGACAATTTGATTCTGGCGATCTTTATTAAAATCCATTTTTCGGTGCGGTCGATATCTATCGTCACGTTGGAATCAGTCTTGAGACCTAGGCTGGGGCATTTACAGGTTGACGCGCAAGTTCACTAGGTCGAAAACTGCGAAAAACGCCTCCATACAAATGTTTGATAGCCTCGATGGCTGTTGTCCTGCTAGTGAGAGCTTTTGGGAGGTACTCACCTGTTGCCGGACCGGGATCTGTTGCGCTTGCTGCTGCGGTGGGGGGCCGGGTTGGGGGTTCACTTGCGGAACCTATAATCCCAAATGTTTTGAAAAGGGGTGACGGCCAGTTCGCCTCATCAGGAAGGTCTTTCCACTCGCCATCGTGTCTCATAACGTTAGATCTGTTTTTCGGCACGCCTTGGCGAGCTGATTACGAATCTGTAAAAGCATCAATGGAAGCTCCATATGGGGGAAAAGTTCTGTGGCTACAAACCCGGAAAATGCTCAACAATGGTCCCTTGAATGCCCGCACCAATTCGAGAATCAAAATTTAGAAAAAAGCTAGTGCGTCTTTTTCAGCAAAAATGCTCTTTCGATGACTGGGAAACATAAGGTTTCTGAGGATTTTGAGAAGGCCTCTCCGACCATACCTTTCCAATCAAACGGCCCTTGCACAAAACGGAAGACAAATTTTTTTTACAAAATTGTCGTAAACCTTGCAACTCATTCAAAAGAGCATTTCTGTTGAACAAGATGCAATATCTAACTTTTTCTAAATTTTGATTCTCGGATGCGTACAGGCCTTTAAAGGGAGCATTTTTGAGCATTTTACCAATTTTGATGCCTCATAACTTTTTCCCATATGGAGCTGCCGTTGATTCTTTTACAGAGGGCGCGCCGAAAGACATATCTGACGTTATGAAATTCGATGCCGAGTTGAAAGACTTCCCTAGTAAACCCACGTCGCCTAAACCCGTTTCGCCTAAGCCCAGATCGCCTACATTATTGATCGCATTCACTGCAGCCTCTTTGACCAAAAACGCCATTTTTCGAAATTCACATAAGTTCTTTGTTCTTTTATAAACATCACCAGCGCCCAAAACCCGCTTCGCGGGCCTTGGGCGCTGGAATGCGGCCTTTGGATGAAAAATTTGACTTCCCGGTAGCTCGGATCTTTCGGACCCCTTCCCCCCACCGCCCACACACGCGAGCGCAACTGGCAAGAATGAGGAATATTGTATTTTTCCGCATTATGCAAATTAGCCCTCAGGATTTAGACGACGTGACCGGAATTCATTGATAAGCCCTTCCAATGAAGGCATCACCTGAGGAGCCACATTCGCTTCATCAGCGTGTTGACCCTCGGCCGGTGTCAGGGGGGAACGCGGCGGGTACAGCTGAAAAAATAAATCTGAATAAAATGCGTGTAATGAGCAAACACGCTATTCATTTAACGTCTTTTCTCTAATATACGGGGCGTCCCAAATAAACACCCCGCAGGCATTGCGCCGTGTTACACCCAATCGATTCCGAAATCGGACCAGAGGCGTCTCAGAGCCTAAATAACCATCCTTGGTTATAGCCCGACCGCTACAGCGGTTTACGATAGCCAAAATATTGTTTTCAATGCGATTTTCAACAGTGGTTTCGGCTATCTTTTTGAACTTTGCATCGATTTGCCTCGACTTCCGGCTCGAAATTCCTCATTTCGCTTAGGGTCCGAGTTGATTTTTGCTTGTAAAAAACCATTTCATAAGCCTCTATTTAGCTTAAGTGTGTCCATTTAGGGTTGGCAGAAAGAATTCTAGGGCTAAAGAAGCCTTTCTGCATCATTTTCACTTAATATTAGAAGGGCGACTCCAAGGAAAACTTTTTTCAAAAGAGCATTCCAAAGTTTAGTTTCGTTTCTCGCAAATTACTGTATGGGCTATAACTAAAGATTGTGGTTATTTAAGGTCTGATACACCTCTGATCCAATCTTGGGAAGAGATTGAACTTTTTTGCAGCGAACGCTCTAAATCCAAGTTGAAGTACCAATAGAATCAGAAAAAAGCTATAAAAGCCTCTATCATTACATTGAGACCGTATTTAAGCGAAATAACCGGCAGGAGATTTGCGCATAATTTCTGAGGGAAATTTGGTTCGGAAGTAGTGAGGAAAATGCAAACGTTCGCTACCTCACGTCGTGGGGGAGGCGTAATCGGCGGGACGAGGGCCTGAAAACAGGTTCAGATGGGTCATATTGTCGAAATTCATGATCTAAAAATTTCATGGCGTCTGCATCTCCTCACGCTCCATTTTGCATAAGCGAGGATCCCCGGGAAATCCCCCAAGTAAAAAGCTCAACAATCGTGGCGGTAAAATCAAAGATACACTAGTGCAACATAAGGGCATTTTCTATTTATGCAATTGTTTTCTAGCTTGAAAGAAGGCGCAGACTACAATTTTCCGTTGCAAAAAAGCGTGTAATTGGGCCGAAAAGCAAGTATCCGGCCAAATATTTTCAGACGGGAACGAATTTTCGCAAGCTCTTGGAAAGCGGAGCCTAACCAGTCGTGGTTTTCCCCACCGAGTACCTCAAATCCCATACTTTTCATCTCAAAAGACGAAGATGGCTAATTTATGCAAAATTCGTTGTTTTACCCGTCGTCTCTAGTGCTTCTGAAACTTAGATTAAACAATTGCCATCCGGATTGCCCTCGAACCGCTACAGAAAAAGGAGAGATTTCTTATTCTAGCGCCTGATGTACGGTACCAACCCTCCACTCCCGAGTCCGGTATCCATCGGCCAGTTGCGCCTCATGGCTGTCTATCTGAAGGATAACAGGCATTATCCTACTATACATAAAAGATGATACTCAACTTAACTTGCTTTAACATGCTAACGACGTAACACAATTTTATTTAGAAGCGGATGCTAACCTGCAGTTGAAGGTTCTGTAGAGTTCCGGGCAGCTTTTCGTGCGTCTCGAGCTGCTTCTCGAGCTGAATGAGTTGAATATTGGAATCCTTACCCATCAATAACGCTTTGGATACTGGATTGCTAGCCAGGAGGGGGGCGCGGGAGGGGTTGCTTTGCAGCGAGAAGCCTTTTCCCAGCTGTACGACAAAGTGTTGGACAGGGTGCTTTTATTTTCATTCCGGGGTGCTCTTGTTGGGGTGCTGTCCAACACTACCGGCACGAGTTACTGGTAAGGGTCGCTTAGCGGGGGGGAGAAGGGGACAAATAACGCGGATCGAAACAATTTTTTGTATAAATAAAGAATATTTTGACGACGCCATCGGATAGAGCGTCGAAAATTAAACTAAGAGACCAGCGCCCAAAACCCGCTTCGCGGGCCTTGGGCGCTGGAATGCGGCCTTTGCATGAAAAGTTTGGCTTTCTGATAGCTCGGGTCATGCGGACCCCTCCACCCCCCGACCACACGCGCGAGTGCAACCGGCAAGAATGAGGAAATTTGTATTTTTTCACATTATGCAAATTAGCCCTCAGGTACCCACAAAAATGAATAAAACCGGCTTTAACTTTGTAAACTTGTATTTTATCGGAATTCTGAGAACGCCATCGGAAAGAGGAGGGTCAATTACCCCCATTGACGGCGAATTAGCGCATTTTATACACAGGAAGGCCCTGGAATCGGGCCTTGAAAGTGACAGCTACACACACACCTACAGACACGCCAAAATTATATAAGGTAGGACCTTTAATGTTTGCGGTGCGTTGCCAAAAAAGAGGATTCCAATGCTACCCACCAGTGTGATAGCGTAGCCGAGTTCTATCTTCTGTGCTGCATGGTGTTCCTCAAGTCGACGCATGACGGCCCTGGCCCCTTCGAGGTTCTCGCGGGCTAGCTGAAAGTCGCATTGATAAAATGGCCTGCACACAAAATCCCAAACATTTTTCAAAAATTCTAAAAAATAATCTCCGGTAGGGAACTTTTGCGACATCCAGGATAAATGGGGATCCAAAATTTTGCCATAACCTTTTTTTTATTCATCATATTCATCATATTTTTTAACATCGTTTTAAAGGACGCGGGAAGGCCCGGAGGGACGGGGGGACGGGGGGACGGGACAGGCAGGCCTTTTTGGATGTTTTCGTTATTTTCTCGGGATTTTTGCAACGGCATTTGATAGAGCAACGAAAAATTCGTGGTAAACGATTTCGGGGTAGTGACTTTTCGGGGTAGTGACTTTTCCGGTTAGTGACTTTTCGGGGTAATGACTTTTCGGGGTAGTGACTTTTCGGGGTAGTGACTTTCGGGGTAGTGACTTTCGGGTAGTGACATTTCGGGGTAATGACCGGACGCCCTCCTCCACGTTAGCCATCCTCAAGCTAAGATAAAAATCTGTGCGATGTTCTGTTTGTTAGGCATCGGGGTTCTGGACCGTTAGCGGGGGGAGTTTTAGCACGGGTGGCAACCACTTTATGTCTTCCACCTATATGTATCCTGTCTTTTATAGCCTTTTAGTAGTTTTTGATTGTTAGGAAGTTAAAGAAAATTTTTCAAAAATTCGTTAATTTTGATTATTTTTATATTGCTTTTAGATCTAAAAAACTATGTAAGAAGCGATGAAAAAAGGTTTATTTAATTAAGATAATGTTTAAGTGTTCCGAAGACACAAGGAAAAGTTTGGTTTGAAGTTGATTTGAAGAGTTTGAAGCCTACGGGGTGTCGAGGAGCTGGGGCCGCGATCACTGGCCGCTCGGCACCTCCAAGACGGCGACTCTGGGCTGTCTTCATCGTCGGAGTAGCCGGTGTTTGGGTGGCTGACGGCGAGGTTGGCGCCTTAAAGTTGCAGTAGCCTTGCAATGAACGTGCAAATATTGAAAACTGCAATAATGCCATAGGACCTTTCGAGAAAACAGGGCCGTTAGACCGAGCTACCGACGGCGCTCAAGCTTGCACGGCAGGGTTAGAAACGAAGCTAGCAGCTCAAGCTTGTACCTTAGGCTTTATTACGAAGCTAGTCACTCAAGCTACAAGATGTTAAACTTTGCGCCACAGACCGGATAAACGGGTCATGCTGTAATTGTTTGTACAAAAAGCAGCAGGCAGGCTAGGTTTGGGTCACGTTATTTGGAAAGCCCCCAAATGATGAGCCGAGACGCGGGCCCAGCTGGGGAGAGTCTCGAAACAGCTCCTCTCCACGGGTTTCTGGGAGGCGCTGATGTGAAAGCGAGTGTCCTAAGGCTATTGCTTAGGTGGTTGGCTCGTGGCTATTGCTTGGTCATAGACCGGATGTCTAGTTCGAAAATTTTTTCGGTGAATCCGTATCTTCCAGGCGCCACACAAGAGTTAAAATCTTTCATAAAAAGTCATTCCAAGCCCTCAGAACTCAAACGGAAGCATTGGTGCCAAAAGGCAAAAAATAAAACAACGTGAGCGGACCCGAACCCTAGAAAGATTCGCCATACCCCGCCAACTACACCACAAGGCCACAAGACCATACAGGGGTCCCAAAAAAATCACCCCCTCCCCCCTAGCCGGCCGCAGACCTGTCGGATTTTTAAGATTTAGGTATCCATCGAAAGCTCTCCGAAAGGCGAGTCCAGCACGTCTCTTCGATTTTCATAATTTGGAAATTTTTCCATCAGTTACTAATGTTTTTGCAAACTGGACGGATTTTCTGACGTTGTTCTGACCAGGGGGTTTTTTACCAAAAATCGCAATTTAAGAATTTTACACCTTTCCTGGCAACCCAACGAGCTTTTTGAAAGCCGTTTGCCAAAACACAGCATGGACAGCGTTTAAACCGGTTAAATTGCGTTTTGAACAAGAAAGTCTGTCCTTTTGGCTTGAAAAATGCCGAAAATCGAGCAAAAAATTTCGACATTTCGCAAATCCGCAAGACGTGCTGGACTCGCCTTTCCGAGAGCTTTCGATATATACCTAAATTGTCAAAATCGGACACGTCTGCGGCCGGCTAGGGGGGGGGGGCTTTTTGGGACACCCTGTAGTGATGGGCCAAGGAGGAGGCACGCCATTCCAGGCGTTAACAGGCAGGCACGAATAGCTTTTGGGCTACGGCAGGCTCCCTTGCACGAGGGGACAGTGCGCTCGCTACGTTTTTGTTCGAAAATAAACAAACTTTTGGACAAAACTGGATTTTTCTCGAAATTTTAATAGAAAAATTAGAAACTCAATTAGATTTAAATATTCTAGACGCCAAGGCGCAGCTTTTGAGACCTAACTATCGAAAACCTATTTTGGTACTTTTTTGATATGGTCTTTTGAAATTCAGTTCAGGATTTTGTGCGGTTTTAAATAGCGCAGAAATCAAGCATTGTCGCTGAAATCTGAGCCTAGATTTGGTAAAATCAAGGTCGATTACCCCCCAGTGCGTGAAATCGACGCTTAAAATGGCTCCAAGTGACTGTTTTGCGAAAATGTACGCCAGTGGATCAACCGTCTCTTTTTAATCGGGTTAATTTTTCCAGATCCTTATTGTTTTAGCAGTTTTCAATGGCTGGAGCACAGTTTTTAAGCAAAACGCAAAAGCTTGGCAAAGGTTTTGGGGAGAAATAGCTGTTGCACGCTGGTCCCGGGGGTCGAACCGGGACCCTCTGTTCGAGATTTGGGACCGGCGCTAACCGATTGCGCCGCGGCCCCGGGGGGTCCTATCCGTGCCTCCGTGGAATGCCGTGGAGGGCTTATGAAGGTAGGGGGAAAGATCTGCAAAATGCAAAAAACTCAAAAATGCTATAGCTTTGATTGTTCTGGGTAACTTCTGCTAAAAATTAGACCAATCGATTCGTCTCGTCGAGCTCTGTGCAAATTTTCGAATCGAGATTCGATGTCGAGCTGAGACCATCACCTTGCTAGGTGTGGTATATGATATCTCGTGCTACTTATTAGTGTCACCAGTTCCAACCTAGCTCGCGCCGATCAGCCTCTTTTTCTGCAAACAATTCCCTTTACGTGCCCTTTAATAATTACTAGATCGTCAGTTTTACCGGATCCACTCGGCAGCACATGTAGAAGAACGGCCACATCAAACAGCGCATGATGGCCGCCAGGTAGCTGTAGTAGGCTAAAAACAAAATACGTGCATTAGGAGTGGATTACCAAGGTATTGATTTTGAAAATTAGGAACTGTCAGGCATTGTGACGTGACAAGTGAGAATGCCCAATTTTCGAAAATGAATTCATGTGACCCAATCGGCCGTTTCGACGACTGGCATTTTTCCGAATGCCGCCTTTTCATAATGCCACTTTTTTGGTCAACGGGAAGGACGCGGGAATATGATTTTGTTTCCTATGGGCCTCGGCTGCTCTATTCGGTAGCGATCCAAAGTGTTGGTCATATTGCCTTGAAAAATTCGATCTTCGAATTTAAGAACCTAAGATCTTGGTTAAAATATGTAAAGTTATTGTTCTCAGTTATAGTTGCAAACCATTCTCTGAATAAAAAAATATGATAGGTGAAAAATGTACTCTTTTGGTAACTGTGAAAAGGCGGAATTATTAAAAGGCGGCATTTTGAAAAGCGTCATGAAAAGCCATACATTGTTAGGCGGTATTACGGAAAGCGGGATTATGATAGCAAATCGGCCCAGACACCACGTCATTTCGGCCACGCAAAAAAGCGTTTTCAAGGAGGACCTCTCCCGCCTCCATGTCAAAAATCAGCCCGAAAGGCAGTCTGAAACCCACTGTTATTGGGTGCAGGCGAATCCGATGCCTCTTCTCCTTCGACGCCTTGTGCCGCAGGATCGTGCCGGGGACAATCTAAAACGTCGTTTTGTAAGCTTTTGAAGCGATCAGGATTAGCGAAGCCTTTTTTTATTTTTAAGACTTATAAATGCGTTAAAAAGGCCGCTATGTGAAAGTGCTCTTTATTTTTCCCGATTTCCGGCCGAGGGTCGACATTTGCGGTCTTAAAAAAAGTTTTACGAGACCTTAGGAACTTTTCGCCGCTGAGAACCCGAAAGCTTAACTCTAGGAAGCCCCCCAGCCGGAGAGACCCCCGAGATATTTCTCGTAATTTTGAGCAGCTACAACACTCTTTAGTTGTTCAAACTGCTCACAAACAGTAAGGAACACAGTCGAAGCATAGCCAGGAAGGTTTTTCGCATTTATTTGCTTCTTAAAGGAAACTGAGAAATTTTTTTGAGGTTTGAGATTTGAGGATTTGAGAATTTTAGAATAAGACTGATTGTCATCGCAGACCCACATCCAAGCATCGGGCTGCGGGGCGGCTCCGTGCCCTGCGGTTCGTTGGATGCGTCGACTTCTTCGGTAGTGCTCAGAACTAAAAGATATATCGTAAGATGTTGAGGCTATCTGGTCAAGTACCGGATTGAGCGGAATCCGTCACAGAGCTTTGCCCGGCCACCCCCTCGTAGTCGCATCCATCCAAATTGATTGTGACGAGCGTAGCCGATTGACCTGAAGACATTCGATCCAGACTACCATACAATTGCGCGGCAACGCCGTTTTTCCATATAACGCAAAAAAATTTACATGCGATCTCTCTGTCCATAAGAGCATAAAATTTTTGGTTCTTTGGAATTCGGGGGGGGAACCCAGTTTTTACCTGGCGGTCCCGGTTACAGAGTAACCAAATATCAAGTGTTCCCAATTTTTTTAGCAAAATTTAAGCCTATGTTAATAACCTAAACTTTTTAAAAGTCAGAAAAACGCTTGAAAAGTCGCAAATTTTTTTGATTTTTAGGTCGACAAGATTGGTTTTTCGACAAAAAATTAAAATTTTTAATTAAATTTTGTCAGGTTTGTATGTTTAGGGATAGCTATAAACAATTTGGAAACACTTCCACTACTTTCACCCTCGCGAATTTCCCAGGACAAACGGTGCAGGGGTCGCGGAAGCATCCAATGAAACCCACGATCGCCGGCAGCTCGTGCTCGCGCCGCTTCCAGTTGTTCTTTCCGTCCCGCGAGTGTAACTTGTCGCTAAAACCCGGCTTTCGTGTATAACTCAAAGGCGAACCTCTTCGAGCTCGAGCACATCGTTCTGCATCAACGGGCGCAAAAGCTCGTCGGCCGAGTTGACCTTAAAATTAGGTCTCGTTCTAGCAGAAAGGGTATACAGTGGCTGGTAATTTAAGACGATACCAGTTTGTTTTCTTGCCTTTTCAAAGGTTTTAGAATGGTGTAGAAACCATCCCAATCCGAGCTTTCTCCCGACCTCGAGGTCCGGGGATTTTTTGAGAAACCCTGTATAGTAGAATATCCATTCCGCGGACAAAAGATGCGGATGATGTGGCGTGATCCACCGAAACCCACCGTATCCTTCTCGACGCGATGTCCCCGAGAGTTGGGAAAGCGGGACCAGAGAGAGTGTGGTAGGTGGCGAACGAAGCTGACCCTTAAAGTTGGAAAATATCCTTGTAATAAAAGTGTAAATACTAGCAACTGTAACATTGCGATAGCGCAATATAAAACTCCTGCCCTGCTAGCCAGCCCCAAGTTAATATAAAAATCCGTTTGATATTCTGTTCCAAAGGCATAGAGCAAAATGGCTCACCTGGCGGCGTTGACGAACGTCGGATTCGTGTATGTGCTGCGATCCGTGGGTTGAGCTTGTCGATGGAGTAGATGGTGATGCATCCTTAAACTTGGAAAAGATCTTTGTAGTGAATCTGTAAACCGGCGCAAGATTGGTAGAAACGAAGAGTGAGAGAAAGGAAAAATTCCTTTTAAAGGTAATCAAAAATTTAAAATGGTCTATTTTACCTGATCACGACAGAAGAAACAGAAAACCGCGGAAAAGACCGAGCGGAAGATGGCCTCCCAGAGGACACCGAAACCTAAAAAAAGCGGCAATTCAGAGTTGATTATGAAGGTAAGGGTTATTCCAAAATTTGGAACTGTCAGGCATTGTAAAAGCTTGCGCGCCTTCTCTGCCCTGTTGGCTACGTGCCAGAAAGGCGATCTGGGGCCCTTTTCACCCGGTTAAACTGCGTTTTTGACGAAAAAAGCCTATAATTTTTGCCGAAAAATGCTAAGAATCAAACAAAAAAGAATCCGGAAATTTCGAAATTTCGAGTGGCGTGCTAGACTCGCCTTTTCTAGAGCTATCGATCGATGACTCACTCGTAAAATTCACACGTCTGGAACAGGAGGGTGATTTTTTTGGGAAGCCCTGTTGATTATAAAACGAAAAGAGGGCGTGACTTTCATTTTTGGTTGTCGGTTTTTGGCAAGAATTTGCGACGTCAATATTCATAGATGGGGCCCGGGTTAAAGAGCCGCGAAGCTGGGTTTTGACATGGGCAACAAATTAAATAACAAACTCAAAAACTTTCTGCTGAACGTTCTGAAAACCCAGTTCCAAAGGTTCATAACTTTTGTGAGTTCTAGTTCGTTAGCGGGAAGGGGCGGGAAGAAGCTAGAATATGACGGATTGTCATCGCAGACCCACATCCAAAGATGCGGTTGGGCTCCGTGTCTTGCGGTTGGTTGGATGCTTCGACTTCTTCGGTGCTCGGAACTAAAAGATGTATTGTAAGATGTTAAGGCTATCTGGTCAAGTACCGGATGTGGAGTCGGTAGTAGATTGCCCGGACACCCCGTCGTCGTCGCATTCATCGTAATCGATTGTGACATGCGTAGCCGAATTACCTGAAGACATTCGATCCAGACTACCATACAATTGCCAGCAGCGCCGTTTTTCCATATATCGCAAAAAGAATTTACATGCGATGTCTCTGTCCATAAGAGCATAAAAGTTTTTGGTTCTTTAGAATTCGCGGAGGGACCCAGTTTTTACCTGACGGTCCCGGTTACGGAGTAACGAAATATCAGGTGTTGCCAATTGTTTTAGCAAAATTTAAGCCTATGTTAATAGCCTAAAACTTTTTAAAAGTTAGGAAAACGCTTGAAAAGTCGAAAAATTTTTTGATTTTTAGGTCGACAAGATTGGTTTTTCGACAAAAAATCAACAATTTTAATTAAATTTTGTCAGGTTTGTATGTTTAAGGATAGCTATAAACAATTTGGAAACACTTCCACTACTTTCACCCTCGCGAATTTCCCCGGACAAACGGTGCAGGGGTCGCGGAAGCATCCAATGAAACCCACGATCGCCGGCAGCTCGTGCTCGCGCCGCTTCGAGCTGTTCTTTCCGGCCGGCGAGAGTAACTTGTCGCTAAAACCCGGCTTTCGTTTATAACTCAAAGGCGAACCTCTTCGAGCTCGAGGACATCTGCCTGCAACAACGGGCGCAACAGCTCGTCGGCGGAGTTCACCTTAAAATTAGGTCTCGTTCTAGCAGAAAGGATATCGGCTGGGGCCAACATTGTTTCGAAAATCCCACCTTCGAGACCAGGTCTGTCACTAGCGTGACCCCACTCGAGCAGGTCGTCTCGAGGAGCTGCAAGTGCTGCCGGGACGACTTGACCACCTTCCGTACATCCGGGATTTCAGGCTGAAAGTACTATTTTTCGAGGGATGGGGGTGAGGCTATCATTCTTTCAGCGTAACCCTGGTTAGAGTGCAGTATACCCCCCGCCCGCCCAGCCGGCACTGAACTTTTGTATCTCGTCTCCCTGTTCATCCACAGGCGTGTAAATATACCAAAATGTTCGTCTTGTTCTGGCGACCATTTTGGTATATGTACTTTACACACCTGTAGATGAACAGGGAGCCGAGATACGATAGGTGGCTGCCGGCTGGGGGGTAAACTGCACTTAAAGACTGTCGGAACGATGGAACGCGCACTGTCACCCCGAGGGTGGCAAACCAAAAGGACACCTGAACCAAACGCAAATTGGAACCGCGCGTGGCCAAAGGTGCGCACTAATGGGAGGATATTGCGCCCCGGAGGCATGAAAAGACGGCAACGAGCCGCGCCTATCGCCTATCTGTGCCCTGATAACGAGCTGATCAAACTGATAAGCGCCGTTCCCCGCCAGTGTTCTGACGGTCGTTAAGCCGTAACCCTAGATTTTTTATGTGAAGAAGCTAGCACAAAAAAGTTCTGCCGAAACCTTTGAGCCATAGCGCTCTAACCGAGCTGAAAACCTGCACAGCGGTAGCCAAACCTGTTTCCCTTGTCCATAGCAAGTTTCAGCTAGTCTGCTAGTTTGAATGTCATACCGAAAAACCTATATGGGAATTTCAAAATTTACATAAAAAGTAAAGATAATTTTGTCATGCACAGGTCGTTCTTGTATAAATTTTACCCAAAATATCGTATTCTGGCTAAATATTGCAGGGAGTACCCGGTACTGTTCTTGATGTGATTAGAATTGCGGAAAATTTGAATACGGAGCAACGAATGCTTACGGGTGGATCCGCCATTGACAGCCGGGCGGGGCTGGTCGAGTAGAGGGAGGGCTCCAAATTTAAAAGTATCTTCCTAGAAGGCTAGCTATGCAAAATGCCAATTCAATGCGACGAATTGACTTTTGTGCCGCCGAATTTCGGTTCCGGTTGAATTTCAAAATCCTACCTTATATAATTTTGGGCTGTCTGTGTGTCTGTGTGTCCGGCTGTCACTGTCCAGACCTGATTTGAGGGCCTTTCCGTCTCTTAAATGCCCTAATTCTCCGTCACTAGGGGGAATCGACCCTCCTCTTTTCGATAGCGTTCTTAGAATTGCAATAAAGGATAAGTTTACAAAGTTAAAGCCGGTTTTATTGATTTTCGGGGTGCCTGAGAGCTAGTTTGCATAATGCGAAAAAATACAAATCGCCTCATTGTTGCCAGTTGCGCGCGCGAGTTGGACTGAATTGAATAGAAAATCGGTCGGGGGAGGGGAGGGGTCCGAAGGGCCCAAGCTATCGGAAAGTCAAACTCCTGATGCAAAGGCCCGTGAAGCGGGTATTGGGCACTGGTAATCTATAATTTCCTGAAACCCCGATGCTCTATCATGCTCGTATCAATCGCAACAAACTAAATAAGAACTGCGAAATCTGTCTCTCGCTCTCTCGCTTTTTCTCACTATCGATTGCCAGTTTTTTCAATTTTTTTTAATCTTTCAAGCCTGTAGAAACCGGTATCCTACTTTATATAATTTTGGAGTGTATGTGTGTGTGTGTGTGTGTCTAAGCACACACACACACACACACACACACACACACACACACACACACACACACACACACACACACACACACACACACACACACACACACACACACACACACACACACACACACACACACATACACTCCAACTAAGCTCGGAAATGCAAGAATAACGCATATTTTCAATGCAAAATGGGGGCCGATATTCTTGCAAAACCCTAATTTTAATATCGAAAATAGCATGATTTCTAAAATCTGATATTTCGGCAGTGGTCGATTCTATCTGGGGATGGGAGATCTCGCGTTGTCAGTGATTCGGAAAAAAGGGGCGATGCGAAGCGTGGTCGATTCTATCTGGGTGCAAATTTTTTCGGCAATTCCGTGTCCGTGTCTATTCGGGGTTCCGTATTTGCAACAGACTTGGCGCAGATAAAAGTTGCTCCATGTTGTGCGCAAAAAGTTGAAAGTGCTTTGTGGGCGGGCCCGAAACGATAGGAAAGCGTGTTACCTGAAGAACAGCTCGGACGGCCCGACGGGGACGGTCAGGAGCAGCACCGCCGCCTCCACCGCCGCGGCCACGCCCCACTCCACGCCCAGCGCGACCACGCCGCCCACGGCCACGTCCTCGGCCGCGCAGAGCACGGGTTGTTTCCTCGGGCCCAAAACGCCCCCTCCCCCAACTCTCTACCCCGAAAACTATTGATCTTGAAAGTCCTCCATCCAATCCGAAATTCCCTATCCCAAAACTGCATACCCCTAAAGTAGCCCGATGGCTACTTTGACTTTGACGTACCGATCATGCAAATAGATCCGCGAATTAAATCGTTTTCCGATATTTTTTGGTTTGAGAATATTGATAAAATTATTTTCCGGTGCTTTCAAGGGCATGGGTTGTCAACGTATCGAAATTGCTGAGTTTCGGGATAGAGAATTTTGGGATAGAGATATTTCGGGACAGGAAGTTTCGTAATACAATTTCCTCATTCTTGCCAGTTGCACTCGCGAGTTTGGTGGTCTCTTTGGATCTGCCTCTCGATGCCTTTCCTTCCCCTGCCCGGGCAGCCCCCTTGAGACATAAAAGGGGTGTTTGGTGCATGCTGCCAAGCATTGCATGGTGTAGTGGTTAGCGCTTCGCCGTGCTAATCTAACGATTGGCGGTTCGATCCTCCGGAAATTTTAGTTGTTTTGCTTTTTGCTCGGAAAGTGCGTTTCGGAGTAGATTTCCGTGTAGGGACGTTATTATGAAGTTAGTCACTCAAACCTGCGCCGCAGCCTATAGAATGAAGCTACCCTCTCAAGCTAGCACCGCAGACTTTCGAGCGAAGCTAGCCGCACAAGCTAGCACCGCAGGCTTTAGAACGAAGCTAACCGCGCAAGCTAGCGCCGCAGGCTAAGGAATAAAGCCAACGATTGAAGCTAGCGCCGCAGGTTAAAGAAGGAGGTAACCACTCAAAGTTGCGCCACAGGCTTTATCTTGCAGCAAACCGCTCAAGCTGGCGCTGCAGGCCAAAAAAAGGAAGCTAATCCCTCAAGCTTGGGCCGCAGGATGAGGTAGCGACCTAGCCGATTAAACATGCGCCGCAGGCCTAATAACGAGACTAGCAGTTCAAGCTTGCGCCGCATACCAATACAAAAAGAGGTTTGCATGGGAGATGCGTCTTTCTTTCTTCAGGGTAAGTTTATGTGGAGGTCTGCTCCCATTTCGAAACTCCATGGAGACTAAAAAACGTCTCTTTGTTGGCCGCCAAATAGGTCATCTGCAGCCGCGCTCTGTGAAGACGGAGGCTCTATTTTTACAGGGCGGGTTTTTTATTGACAGAGATGGCGTCTTTTTTTAGAAAAGATGAGTTAGGCATTTACGGTACAATTTTTTTTCATCACACTCCTACAGGCCAGCTCGAAAGTAAGAGAACTTTAAATAGTGCATTTTCGCTAGCAGTTTAAGTTGGTTTTGATTGTTTGAAAGTTATGAGAAATATGAACAAAACTGAAATTCGAAAAATTGTACTTTTTTGGGTATTTTGCAAGCTTTTTATTATTTTTGATGTTTTTTTTGTATCTAAAAACCGTGTGGAATGCTAAAAAGATCGTTTGTCTAACGCTTTAGGGGCCGTACAAAATTACCGCCGCCAGTCAATTGCTAGAACCCAAAACGCTATCAATACCTTAAAATGGTTAACCCCTACACCAACAAGCGGCTCGGCCGCGTTGTCTCCTTGGCCAGCGATGACGGGCGAGACGGCCCACGGAGAGACCTGTAATGACAACATCAGCCTGGCTTGAGTAACTCGATGAGGAAATATGATTTAAAGTTTAAAAGACTCACCGGAGCCGGGTCGGGTGTACGAGGTAGCTGCACGTCTAGCTGAAACATCATGTAAAATTGCGCAAATGATATTCGATACTCTGAAAGAGCGAGATTTCACCGGTGATGATTTTCTCACCCAATTCGTCATTCATAAATTTCAACCATTTGGAAATTCAAAATCCATTTTTCAGTTAGCAAAGCGATCAAAAGATCTTAGGAAAAGCTCCTCGGTGACTTTGTGTCCCACTACCTTTACACCTCTAGCAAAAATTTGCAAAGTTTCTTTGGGTCTCAGAATGTTAGAAAACAGTTTCGAAACACTTCTACTATTTATCTTACAAAAATCCGATCATTAGAAAAAAAGTTTTCAACCGCGGCCCGTCGAAAATATATGTTGTTTTATATGAATGTTTCTTGCCGAATCCCAATGAGAACAATGAAAAGATAAGCGCTCTGTCCCTTTAAATAGGATACCACACCTTCCGGTGTATACTAGTTGTTTCCCAAATAGAGTAGCCGAAGGATCTACAGAAACTGAAACCGTATCTCGAAACGCGCTAAGTTTGTAAATTCTGATGTGTGCCCTAATCTCCGGGCCAATCTGCACCAAAAGACGTAGCAAATACACCTAAAATTTGCCCCTAGCGAACTCTTTACGCGTGTTTTCCTGAATCTTTTAGCGCTCATAAGCGGCAATAGGAACGCCTACGCACTTCGAATTTTGTAAATGACCTTCATTCGCCAATCAAAAACTGTGTGTCTTTCCCGTTGCCTCTTCTTAGATTCAAGTGATGTGTGTGTCAAATGACATAGCGGTATTTCCATTTTATTCACGGAGAGAAGATTTAGTCCAGTTTTATTGGGTCTTGTTGGATCCGGTGGCACAGTTCGCTCGGCCAATTTTGACCGTTGTCGGATGTCGGAGACGTGATTTCTGAAGAGAAGCTTTGAGCTTGATTTTAAGGAAGGTTTTTGGACCGAAATTCATATTTTAAAGTCTCATCCGCCCTCTATCTCTTCTAGTTGAGACATTTAACTACTGACAAAAATAAAATGACACGAATCGAATTTCCCACCCATTCGAAAAAGACCGTCTTCTACCCCTGGGTTATTAACTAACTTCGCTGAACCCCGAGAACAAAAAAAAATGAAAGGGTTTCCCTCTGTCCCTTTATTCAGGCTTTCGCAACTTCCGGCGGATGCCAATTTCTACCAACCCAAGAAGGTCCCCGAAAATTTGACAAACCCTTAAATTTACCGTCGAAAATCGCTGTTTTTCTAAAATCTGATATGTGTGCACTCTTCCCAGGCGCATTACACATCGAATGAGGTATCATACGTGCCGTAAAATTTATCCCTTTATCGAGATACTACTGGAGCGCGCTGACCGAAGTGGCAAACAAAGCTTGACCCACACGCAAACACTATTTTTTATATATCGTAGGATTTACCATGCCCTCAAGCCGCAGGAAGCCCACGTTTGTATCGGCAGAGCCCGTCATCACAGCCCATGCTCAGTCCTTCTTCTAAAACCATTGATGCGGTTGCAAAAAAGAAAACGACCTCGGCCATTGATTTTTTGCCAGTTGTTTGGGAAGTAGCATCGTGCACACGTGGCATGTTCTATTTCTTTCATTTGATCCCTCGACACGCAGAGGTTTCTCTAAAATGAGTTGTTGAGAAACGGGTGCTTTCTCATTAACGGGGGGGGGGGGGGCTAGTAGCGCAATATTAACTGCTTTAGCGTTTTTAGGCAATTTGAGCGCCGTCACTCAAGTGTTATTTTATGATCAGCCGGAAATTCGGCCTGCCGGCCGAGAAATCGGCTGAACAGAAAAGACACCTACCTAAGTTTCTCGCTTAGGATAGGGTTTCAAACTCAAAACTAAAAAAAATTTTTGTGTAAATTTTCCTGTTTATATCTTTTAATAAAGAACTGTGGTGATTTGCGCTTCGTAAACGTAAAAACAATTCAGAGACGGTTTCTCTATTAATATTGGAAACATTGGATGCTAAGGAAACGCACCTTTATTCGTTCCAATACGTTTTGACGATTTGAAGCTTTGCATTAGTTTTAGTGTCGCCGTCTTTCCTGGCGGATGTGTTCTGCTACTTTGTGCTGGAACAAAACGCATCAGGCTTTTGGGGGTGAGAGAGCCTTTCCTTTTGAGCCTTTCCCATCACGCCAAATGCGCTGCCCCGTTACGGTTTACTTTACCCCCAGCCGGCGGTTTTTGGCTGTAACTTTTTTATTTTACATTATTGTAGGCTCGAATTAAAACTCTTAGTAGATTTTTCGACGCTCTATCGAACGGCGTTGCAAAAATCCCGACAAAATCAGCGAAAATACCGAAAACTTTGAGGCCTTCGGCTGTGGGGGGGTAAAGTAAACTCTTACCGCGTTGCCCTATGGCATTCCAACCCAAACCGCGCGGCTCCCCGGTTCGGCATTTTTTTGCGCAGGGTTGAAAAGGTAGGTTCTCACTGGAAAGAGACTGGAAAGCCAACATTCGCAGGTTCGTGGTTTGGACTCAGAGCTCGAAAAGCCGCAGGAAAATTATCTACTAAGTACACGGGGAGATTGATTTCACGGCGAAAAACCGCCAAATTGTTTAGAAAAGCACAGCGGAATATTTTCAAAAAACCAAGCCCATCTTAAAATGCTGTTCGAGTTAAACACGACTTTTTTGCGCTCATGGCGGAAGAACTGAGAAGTTCGAGCTTTTAACCTCGCAAAAGCCGCAAAATCAGAGTCTCGTCGTCGCGTTGCCGCCGTCCCTGTCTATTTGCCAGGGATCAGAGCGAGGGAGTCGGACGAGCCAAACTTTTTAGCCCCTCCGAATTTGCAAATTACCCTACCTTGCCACACGCTTTTCAAAGTCGGCCAAACCATTTGCTGAGTTGTGGGCAGTGACGAAAGCTGTCGTCCGCGTCAATGCCGAGCTCGTCTTCCTGAGACCTAAACAAGAAAGAATTAGATGGATAACGAGAGCGAGCACTGGATCGAGGGCTGCGATCAGTTGGCGGGATTGCCAACCACCCGTTCTGAAGATAAATATCATGGTACTGACAAAGCGCACAAAATTGGAAGCTTCCGACTCGTTTTTAAGTATAATAACTAATAAATTTTTAGAGGGGGGGAGTTCCGTAAAAACTAATATTACCCTGATATTACTAATACTAATATTATCACATTTATTTTCCATTATCTATTGATTGATGTATGTTACATATTGATTTGCGAAATAGGCTAAAAACACCCCCTTGCTAGATTCTTGGCGAATGGGAAAACTGACAAAATGGAGTTCGAAAATACTAGCAACCGCCGTCGGAGTCGATTGTGTGTAAATATCAAATCGATTGACAAAGAGGAAAACCCGTGAACGGAAAACATTAGGTCTGGGGTTGGAATCACGCCGTGCGCACTTTAAAACTTTTCTACTGCCAGTGCTTACTCGAATAAGTTGTAAAAAGTGTAAAAAATGAGGTCTGACCTGCTTCATATCCTGTATTATTATGACGCATCCGTCAATTACAAATTCCCTGTTGGCGGCCTGGAGTATTAGCCGCATTACCTAAAATGAATGCTTTCGCGTGTGTGATTTTATCCGGTCTTTGCCACTTTAAGGACTGTTTTTTCAATGTCAATGTCGGCAAAGCCATTCGAGACCCAGCTCCTCCGAAAGAGAATGGAATTCGGCAATTCGATTGTTCATTTTTGTGGGATGGCTGGCTCTAGCCCTACAAAATAAAAACGTGAAAAATATGGCTTTTAGGACTTTGGCCTTGGAGTGGTTTGTTTCTTTAACGACCGATTCTGGAGACCTTTCTCACAATAACTTTCACTGGGACTTACGTCGTCGGCAGTGATGGCAAAGTTCGACACTGTAGAACGCGGCGTTTCGACGATGCCGCTGTGGTGACCAAGCTGCGGTTCTAGCGGGTGAATTAGTGGCACCAGTCTCCTAAAGGAAGAAATTCTGAAAGAAATGGTAAAAAGCCTGAGAGCGTAGAAGTACCTTTTTAATCCTCCGATCATTGCCTCCAGACGCACCACGCCTCATTCCCGGTACGTTCCATCGGGCAATTTCTCTACCGTGTAGATTTCCGTTTTCACGTCGGCGCGTAGTGCTGCGGCATCCGCGCTGGAGTTCATCTTCGTTTTCGGCTGCGAGTACATCCATGTAGAAAAAATCTGCATGAATTCGGTATTCGGTAGTTTCGCCGGGCGCTTGCGATATCTAAAGGGTTTGACGTCCTATTTCTAACAGGTCAACCACCTTGCTGCAGGTGACTGCCACCAAGTGGTTGTAACTGGTCTCGGCGTCAATTGTACTAGCTCCACGTCTAAAAAACTGTGCTTAGCCCCTAGAGGCATACGCTCCGAGTATCGATCCATGGTGCTTTGAGGCGCAGCGTTCCTGTTGCGGTTGAGCCGCCGTGACATTCCAGTCCCGATCATGTGCTCCATAGCGTGTGACACACCATTGCTGCTGTCGGGTTTCATCACTAAATAATTAACAGCGATGGTGAGATCAGATAGACTGTTACGCACGGATTGATACAAACGCTAGCCTATTCCCTAGCGAAGACCTGACCGTTGAGGCCGGCAACTAACGCATGCAAAAAAAAATTCCATTTTTGCCAAATATACATGGCGGTTTTGTGGGGGAAAATTTTTTGCCTCCAACGAAACGCACGCTTCCCGAACATCCGAATCTTGCAGCCACGTTTTGTTTCATGCTCCCGGTCTATGAAAATTACCCGCCAACGCCGTGATCTGCGTGACCGGCTTGTTTCTGGCGAAGTTGAAGATATTGACGCCAGTCTCCAGGGATTCACAACGTAACAGCTAAAATGAATTGAGTAGGCAAGTCCACAACGGCATCGAGTGCCGCAAATTGTAAAATGTTCGTCATGATCTGGGTCGTAAACGACGCACCTTTGTCCCATTCGACATCACGTATGAGCTGTGGACGAATTTCTGAGCCGGCAGCGCCTTGTTGCTTAGAGGTTGAGCAGCCTCGCCGCAGGGCTTCTTTTTTTGGGACTTGTCCTCGAGCTCGCCCTTCAGCACTTCAGCCTGAAAATAGGTAAGATGCAATAGTTCAAAGATTTGTAATACAGTAGTCCTGCGGCGCTCATTGGTTACAACGGATTATTTGCTGACGAATTGTTACTGAGACTTTACCGCGCACCCCCAGCCGGAGGTTCCCGACTTTGCGCTATAACTTTGTTATTATACATTATTTTGCGTTGTCATTGAAACTCTTAGTATATCCTTTGATGTTCTTTCGAAAACCCGAAATCGAAAAAGGCTAAAGTCCACAGTGAGTTCTTGCATTTTCCTTGCGGGCCGAGACCTCGCCGAATGGCTAGTCTCCGTTTTTTGTTCCAATATACGGCAAGTTACGCTACGATAAATATGGGCAGCCTCCTAAAACTTCCTCTAACCGGCCCTTTTTTTGGCTGCTTTTTAAGGAAATGGATTTTCTATCAGCTTGTTAGGTCGTCTAGGCTCTATGCGGCCCTACGCATTTAGCAAAGATTTAGTGAATTGCAGAGCAAGGCTAAATAACGCGCATTGAACCACGCACCACTTTCCGTTTCGTTGACGTCTTGGTCTTGGTGAGGCCCTCCTGCACCATGGCCTCTTCCTTCACCATGGCCTCTTCCTTCACCATTTCACCGATGGTAGCTTCGGCAATCTTGCTGCCCAACAATTCGGCCTCCGCGGCTCTTTCCACCGCTGCCTCCACCTCCATCACCATTTCCGCCTCTTTTTCGGCCACTGCACATTTTTCCGCCACCGCATTTTTTTCGGCCACCGCCTCTTTTTCAGCCACCGCAGTTTTTTCGGCCGCCGCATCCTTTTCGGCCACCACATCCTTCTTGGCCACTCCCACTTCGGTGAACATGGCGGCAATTGATCAATCATCGCCGTCGATCAATCGACCAATCATCATCGTCGATCAATCGCCGCTGTGGTCGATGAAGTGGGCTCCATTTTTTCCCTGCACACGGCAGTCGTGTTTTCCCAATCCTGAAAGATCGCACTGAGTTCTAATTAAAAAAAAAACGAAAAATTGATTTTTTGGCTGTGGTCGGAGGGCTTGCAAAGGGGTTTCAACAGCCTCCCCGTAAATAGCCAGCAACGGCCGCAACGCAGACCGCCGGCTGCAAAACACAGCCGCCGTTTCAAGGCAAATTTTATCGTTCTATCGCCATTCTCGAATCCTAGGGCAATCTGGCCCGGATTCATGGAAGGTATAAAAAACTCTGTAAATAAAAAAATCGTCTGTATTAAAAACAACAACAATGATACTTCATTAAGTCATCGATTGAAGACGACTGCCGGAAAATTATATTTTATGAGCAAAATTCTCTAGGTTTTTGCGGAAATCGCCCTAGCCTCTCGGGAAATTTAGGCACCCATTGAAAACGCACCGGAAGTGGTGGTGGACCTTATGAGGGAGCCGCCGCTGCGACAGTACTTTCAACCATGGCCTAATTATTAAATTGGTGCTGGACCACCGCACCCCAACAAAAAGTTGAAATACCGGCCTGCCGGGACCCGGGATAGATATTTGAGTACTTTAGCCCGCTTGCCTTACCCTTTTTTTTTGAAGCACCAAATTGCTGCACATATAGAATTGATGAATTGAGAGTGGCGTACAGTAACGAATACTGGATTGGGGTGTGTAGTTGGAGTAGAATCACACACAAGCAAAACGCACACTGAGTTTTGGGGGCTTGATGGTGGCTTATATAGGGCCCCGCCCCGGATAACAGGGGATGGGGGCAAGAGACGCAAAGATCTCAAAGAGGCTAGTCCGGGTTGACGACACGGGTATATTAAATACTACTAATTAAATTAATTAATTAAATACTAATAATAAGACATATTAAATTCGGATAAAAATAGTGGTGCTTCCCACTGTTTCTTACTATTACTAAATTCACAAAATTTACAGATTTTGATAATATTCAAGTCGGGGGGTCGGGAGCCGGCATCTACTTTCAGGAATGATGACCGGTAATTAAAGGGGCTCAGAAGTCAAAATTCGTGCGTGCGGGGATTGAACCTACTGGTCAAAAAACGCAAGGGTCACTGCCGAGAAGTGCCAGAAAAGTGATTTCATTGCGAAAAAACGTAAAATGTTTGAGAAAATCCGAATTCTTTTCGGGGCGAAAACGACATTTTGAGTGCGCGGCGATTACCTGTCGTAATGCCTTGTAAGGCACCCAATCTCTCGATCTTGGCGATTCTCTGTCAATTTTCATAATTTAAAAGTCTAGAATGATCAAAATTTGGTGAAGATTCCAAAAATAGCATCAGCATTTTTAAATTCAAGCGTTTTCGCGTCCAAACAGGGGCAAAAGATCATGCGACGCGGTCGCGTTGCGGCCGCATCTGGCTATTTGCCAGGAATCACAGCAGGGGGCCGTGGACCAGATTTCGGAGCCCCTTTAAGAAAGATGACTTCAGAAACACGAACTTTTAGCCCCCCGTTAGCTTATCTTATCAGGTTGGACCGAAAGTAATTACAATTTTTCGGAAAGAAGCCATGCTATCTTGGCTATATTTTATGATGATTGAGGGCAGGCCCGTAGGAGGGGGCGGTGGGGGGGGGGGCGGCTTGCAGCGCTGTTTTTTCAGTAAATTTATCGATTTTCACTAATTTCGCTGTCTGGGGCGCTGTTCTGCGGGCCTTTCAACGGTTTTTGAGCTGATCAAACATTTTTTCTGCTTGCGGCGCTATCTATTACTGTTTTTAAGATAAGTTTGACTTCTGAAAAAGTGCTGAAAATAATTCTCTTAGTAAATTTTTGACGATGGCGTTTTAGCAAACATAAAACATCTCAAAGATCTGGGCTCCCTCGTTATCCTATGGTCTGCCCATCGTTTTGGGCCATTTCTTCTCTATTAAAAGAAACTTTTATATAACATTTTTTAGTTTTAAAATCATTCTGCTAGGATATTCTTCGACGCTCTATTGCACGGCACTAGCGGGATCCCATAGTAATTTAAAATATGTGAAATATTCTGTGCCTTGTATTTTATCTCCCCACCCCCATTAACCTGTGTGTTCCGCCTAAAATGCATCGCCCCTAGAGATCTCGTCCGGAAATGGTGACGGAAGTTGCATGCAACGGGCCACACACAGACTGCTTTTTTTATTAAAAAGCTCGATTTTTAAAGAAATTCGAAACATCAATTCAAGAAAAAACGTTCGCAAAATTCAAGCGAGTTCTTACGAGAAAAGGTGTTTTGAGCTCGCCCCGTTATTGCTACAAATGATACACCATTCGATCGCGAACTGAAAATAAATATAGTTATTGAATATCAGTGTCTGCCCCAGAGCTTTACTTAAAAAAATATATATAGCCTAAGCTTTTCAACAATGTCTAAGATTTTCTCCGTGGCGCAACGTAGCAATACCCGGCCGACCTCAAAAAGGCCTTTTCTGGTAGATACTTTGACTTTTTCACCTTTTTTTTGCCGAAGGCCGACGTAGCGGCTCTAACCTAAAGCTGGCCGATACCCCGTAATCTATCAGATAATGACGTAGTAGCCGACAGACACAAAAAATTCACTCTAATAGGGTAGAAAATCAGAAAAATTTGTCTATCCTTGCTAGCTTTAAATATTTTTAGAGCGGAAATTTCAATTCACCGACCATGTCATTCCTCGTCCCTCTGATTGATGGGCGCGACGGCAGTCATCAAAGTTTCCGATTGCATAGGCTTTCATTTTCCTCAAACACAATTTGGTATTCCCCGATTTCAAAGTTGACCGTACCTTTAAATCTTCATCTCGTCTTTTGCCTCTATATGAAGAATTGTTAAAATATTAGATCGATGGTTGAACGATTCAACACCGATATGGCGCCTCGTTGAAGAAGGCGCTGATGGTCTCAGAATAATCACCCAAGTCGAGGCCGGAGCCTGGAATTGAAAAAACCATGAAGGAAATAAAATAATTCAGCTCAATGAGAAGAAGTCATATTGCTCGAAACTGGAATTCGTTTAACGGCGAAAGATAGGCCGAGATAGGGAGATAGAGAGGGATGGAAAGAGAGCGAGAGGAAGAGAGCGAGAAAGAGTGAGAGAGAAGAGGGAAAATCTAGAGCTGTCGGAATCGATTCGGGAAAGGGGGGTAGATGGCATTTCTCGGAAAAACAGTGGCAAGTAGGCTATGAATAAGTGCGCGGACACAAGCCGCCGCGCGATCCTGGGTGGGGGCATATATTGATTTGACACTGTGGAATCCTCATCATTTTCCTTTTTATTCGCGGGGAGGGTATTATTTTCGCGCTTAAATACATGAATCATTGGAGAGAGAGAGAGAGAGAGAGCGAGAGAATGAGGGAGCGAAAGCAAAAAGAACAGAGAAAGAAAGAGCGAGAGCGCGCGCATGAGAAAGAGGCAGAGCGAGAGAGAGAGAGAGAGAGAGAGAGAGAGCGCATGAGAAAGAGGCAGAGCGAGAGAGAGAGAGATAGCGAGAGATAGATAGAGAGAGAATCTAGAGTTGAGTTGTAAGAATCGTCTAAATTAAATTTTTTTTGCGTTAGTCTGGCTGGCAAAATTAAAACGGAAAAATCGAATGGAATGCGGGAAATGGCAGCTTTACGCTTTGGAGGCAAGAAGCAGAGGGTTACGGTAGTTGTGGAAACCCGGCCACTAATCCGGGGACGCAAAGGAAGGCGATCGGATTTGCAATGGTTCGGAATCAGGAGGAAGAGCGAAAGAGAGAGAGAGAGCCCGAGGGAGAGAGAGAGAAAGCGAGAATCTAGAGCTGCCGGAATCGATTCGGGAAATCGGGTAGATGGCATTTCTCAGAAAAACAGCGGCAAGAAAGGTATGAGTAAGCGCGAGGACAGAAGCCGCCGCGCGATCTTATATATTGATTTCCCACGGTAGACCCCCAGTGGTAAAAATCATTCCCTTTGTCATTCGCAGGAAAGGTGTTATTTCGATGCCTAGATACTAGAGATGTTTTTATTCAGATACGATATGGGAAATTTTGCATTTAAGGCAGTTTGCATATCGTGTCTAGGTTCAAGCCGGGGCGATCGAGATACGATTATCGCATCTGCGATCGACGAGGCTCAAACCAGATACGATATATCGGAATAAAATTTACATATCGGAATAAGCAGAAAATCCGTCATTCGCGTGGATACTTGCTCCGTACGGTCAGTCTGCATAAAAAAGCATTAGGTTAGGCGTTTCCTAGACAAGATCTTTCGATTTGCATCCATTTTTTCGCCTACCGAGCCCCCTAATTTCCCTTAATCCGATATGCAAAAGTTATTCCGATAGTATCGTATCTCAGTGGGTCGGATTTCAATTCAGATGCGATTATCTATATCGCATCTAGGCTTTTTCAATTCCGATGGCTTATTCAGATGCGATATATCTGTATGCATATCGTATCTGAATAAAAACATCGCTACTAGATACATCAACCTTTTAAGAGAGACAGCCAGGGAGAGAGAGAGAGAGAGAGAGAGAGAGAGAGAGAGAGAGAGACCAGCGACGTTTCTGGTTGGTTCGTAGTTGAATTGGATGAGCTTGCTTGCCCCGGAATACGAATAGAGCAGCGGCCTGGGGGAAGCGTGGGAAAATCGTCCCGTCGTAGACGCACATTTTCGAACGGAGCGTGTTGTTGGCATGACTA